ATAAGAACGGCTCTTGCTTTTTTCTTGCAAGGGAGAGAGTGACTCCTGCCTCCCACTGTCATCATCATCTTCTTTTGGGTTAGTGAATCAATTAAACCTTTCATGATAGTGAGATCGTTTCCCAAATTTCCCTTAAATCAGGGAAGAAATCACAAAAAAACCTTTGGACTGAGAATAAGCCTGTTCCTACGATGCCATTTTTGTTCACTGCAGTGTGAAAAGTGTGAAAAAACACACTTCTTTTTCTTCATCTTCTTGTTCCCTATTTACTGGTCTCTTTCAAAGAGGAAATTGTGAACATCAAACTTATTCTCAACTGTCCTAGTGAAAGTTTTTATTGGTATCTATTTTTATTTTTGAAATTTACCAGTAGCTGCTGCATTTCCCACCCTCGGCTTATACTCGAGTCAATAAGTTTTCCCAGTTTTTCTGTGGTAAAATTAGGTGCCTCGGCTTATATTCGGGTCGACTTATACTCGAGTATATACGGTAGTCCCTTTGTCATAGCCTTTCTGGTATTATACCTAACAAAAAGGGCTAATTATAGATTGGAAGGGCTATTTAGGCCAGGGTATCCAACCTTCACAACTTTAAGACTTCAACTGAAGGAGAGCTGTCCTGTGGCCCTCAGATATTTTTTCTTAAGAGTAACCCTGCATGCTTCTTTCATTCTCTCTAAGATTTATCCTCCCCTGATCATCCAGCCCAGCAGGATCTGACTGAAGCAGAATAAAGGGGAACAATTACTTCCCGTGATTTGGCAATGATGTTTCTGTTGTGTCAGCCTAATAAGTGTTTTTTATTGCAACACCAGGGTACGGTTACAAATTCAGCTTGCAACCTAGGACTTCTCCATGATCTTTCCCCTAAATGTCCCGTCCTAGCACATTTGGAATTTGCTTCCTCGCCGAAGCTGTTTCAATCTTTTTTAAAATATAGTTTTATTAAGTTTCCATTATTACAATTCAAAATATCAGTTCAACAGCATTTTTTGACATCTATATAGGTTCTTGTCTTATAAAGCTTAACACATTATATTTACATTTATCTAACACTGATTAATAACTTTATCCATAATTATTATTCTTATATATTCTACATATTTACAGTTCATTTTGTTGAGGTCTCTTACAGATTAATTTCCTATCTTATTTCTGTTTGTTACCCAATCATACCATTTATTCCAAATTAAGAAATAGTCGTCTTTTCCTTTCAATTTCAATGTGTGCATATTCATTTCAGCACTTTCCATTATTTTTTGTAATATTAATTCCTCACTAGGGATATTAGGTGTTTTCCATACTTGTGCATATGCTGTTCTGGTGGCTGTTAAGATACGTAACATCAAATATTTTGGTTTTTTGGGAATTCGATCTTGAATAATTCCTAAGAGAAAGGTTTCTGATCTGAGTTCAGTTTGGTAGCTAATGATCTCCTGTAGCCAATTTTTAATTTGAGTTCAGAATGTCCTGGTCTCGGGACATAGCCACCACATATGGTAAAATGTACCCGTCAACTTTTTGGCATTTCCAATATTTTGGGCTTACATTGGGGTATATATTTTTGCCAATCTTGTTGGGGCCAGATACAATCTGTAAAACATTTTGTACAGATTTTCTCCCATTCTGAAGCTGTTTCTATTATACTTCAGTGAAACAATACTTCTTTCCTTTCAGATTTTGGGAAGCTTTGCACATTTTTGCCACTGAATGAGAACCTTTAGAAAAAAATCTGAAAGGGGCAAGCAAGTACAAATAGTCCTCGGTTTATGATCAACAGTTGAGCCCAAAATTTCTGTTGCTAAGCGAGACAGTTGTTAAGTGAGTTTTGCCCCATTTTACGACCTTTATGGTTTTACTGTAACCATCTTAAATATTAGTCAATTACCAGGCACCTGAATTTTGATCACGTGACTATGGGGATGCTGTAATGGTTGTAAGTGTGAAAAACAGTCATAAGTCACTTTTTCCCCAGTGCCATTGTAACTTTGAATGGTCACCAAATGAACTGTTGTAAGTTGAGGACTATCTGTACTTTTTTCACAGAACTATACTCAGGTCATTTTTTCCAGCCTATCAACTCATTTTAAACTTTACTTCTCTCTCCTAAGATATTAAATCTCCCATCCAATTTTGTATTGGCTGCAAATGGGAGGCATATTCTGTACACCACTTCAGTCCAAATTCCTACAACATGCTGCTTAGCAAGCTAATTAAGTGTGGGCTGGAGAGCATTCTAATTAAATGGATGAGTAGCTAGATCAATAATTATACCCACCTCATCAAATTGGAGGGAGAAACCAAGTGGGGTTGCTAATCAATATTTACTCTGCAACTTCCCCATAATTCATTAGGGAAGCTATTTGATCAAAAATGGGATTTAAAAAAAAAGGGATGTTCTTGACAAATCCATGCTGGCTTCATTATTTTCAAAAGAGCTTACAAACAGATCTATTACTGTAGCATCTCCCAAGGCATTGGTATCAAAATGACAGATCTATAGTTTTCTGCATCTTTGGTCTTCTTTTCTCCTCTTTCTGGAGATAAGGAGATTTCCGTTCTCCAGGGAGTCTAATAATAATAATGATAATACCCAAATATTTGGCCAGCCCATCAGGTGGTTTCTTCAGTATTATGGAATGTGATTTATCTGGCCCTGGAAATTTAAACTCACTCAAAGAGTTATTCTATGTCCATAATTTTATCAATCTCAAGTTTTATTCTCATCCCTTCCTCCTTTTCTTCACAAACTCCTGGTGGAACACGTAGAGTTGGTTAGAGAAGATGGAATGAAAACAGGAATAACTCTGTTTCTTCCACCCTTCTTCACTGAATAAGTTGATACATTGATTTTTCCCCCTTTTACTTTGAACATAACCAAAACAGCCCTTTCTGTTATTCTGAAATGTTCAGTACTGGCCTCAAATGATTTTGAGTTTTTATTTTCACAACTCCATCTCTACTGTTTCAAGCTACTAGTCTGGATTCTCCTTTGTGTGCTATTTCCTATTTCCTCTGTGTATTCTTTATTGCTCTCTGTCTTCATAAAATTTAATTCTTTATGTAACTGTATTTGGGCTTTTTTGCTGTCCTTCATTTTTGTTTTCTCCTAACAACACATGGGTGATGTAGCATTCAAAATACTGCTTTAAACAACAGATGGGATAATTTAGAAAAATTAATAATTTAGACAATAGATGGAACAATTCGGGATTGGTTTACACGTATGGGTCTCGTCAAGTTCACAACTAGATAGAGCTTGAGAAAATGTATGCTACAGTTCCTTTGATTTTTTTTTTGTGGTGGCAGATTTTTTTTTTAAATTATTATTATTAAGTTGTCATTTTAAGAATTTAGGTGACTTACACTGACGTCAAGTTTGGATATTTCCTAAAATATCCAATAAAAAGGTCTTTGCATGAATGGGTTCGCTGAAATTACAGGTACGGAATTACTGCATCACGTCTAGACATTTGTTGAAATACTATATTTTATTTTTCTCCTATTTTGTGGCACTCTAGATGAAAGGATGCATCAAAGTCCTCAAAGACCAGCCTCCCAACAGCGTAGAAGGTCTTCTAAATGCTCTCAGGTACCTCACAAGCCCTCTCATGTTAAGCACAATTGCTGTGTTTGGTGTTGTGTGTATGTTTTTTTTTTTTTAAATCATCTTAACGTAGAGTGAATGCCTCTTCTGTTTGAATCCCAGAGTTGCTAGTTGTGGCTCTCTTGCTTTGGAGAAACAGGCTTGTAAGAATTAGCAAGTCCTCCAACTTCTTTCATTTGCTGGTTTAAGCAACGGTGCCAGTGGTGGTATTCTGGTTCTGCCGAGCCAGTAGTGGCGATGATCACCTTTATCCTCTGCTTTTGGAGCGCGGCTGCTTTGCGCGGCACAGCAGATTGCCACACGGCAGCTGCTGAAGAAACAGAGAGTGCAGGATTGCAGGAGACGAGTCGGAAAGCCTCTGCGCCTGCGCAAAGTGTGTTTTTGGCGCGTGTGCACACGCAAAGCCACACCCACCGAACCGGTGGTAAAAATGTTTGAAACGCACCACTGAACAGCGCAAACACATCGCCTGAAGCTCTGAAGCTCAGGGACAAAGCACTCTTAAAAACTTGAAACTGCACAAATGCGAAAGACCCAAGTTTTAATATGATAGGAACATTTTGTGTAGTAAAAGCTAATTTAATCCGATGGCCATCATGTGAAAAAGATAAGTTTGCAAGCACATGCCATGTAAAGGGGTTTTTCTTTTAAAACGTGAATATATCAATCTTTTCAATTTCATTTAAATAGAATATAAAGATAAAGATCCTATGAAAAATTCACTTTGCAATTGTTTATTCAACAAAAAGAACAAAACTAATAGATACAGGTAGTCCATGACTTATGGCGCTACTGTAGGTGACCGTTCAAAGTTATGATGGACCTGAAAAGCTGCTTTTTTTTACGATTTATAATGGTGGGTTTCCCCCCCAGAAACGGTCATATAATACTGGTTTCTGGCAAAAAACACCCCATAGTGGATAATGGATTTGCTTAACGAATCGTGTTCGTTTAATGGCTGTGATGTTCACTTAACAATCACTGCAAAAAAAAGGTTATAAAATCAAGCATGGCTTATGACCATTATGACTTATGACCAAAATTGCAAGCTCAGCTACGGTTGCAAATCAAGGACTACCTATATAACATTTTTTTGGTCTGTGGGAAAAAATTTACCATAGCTCTAATACCTGGTTTTGTCCCTTGGACAGAAGTAATCTCAAGTAGCCATTTCTTATAACTGTCAACTAAAAAGAATTTGCCCCATTTCCCCCCCCCCCAGCTGTGCGAAAAAAAAGTTTGCGGGGTTTATTGCATTATAACCCATTTTAAACCACCCCTCAGTGAGCTTTAGATCTGAGTGTTGACTTGGCTGTTCCAGCACTCTCTTTTCTTTCTTTCTTTCTTTCTTTCTTTCTTTCTTTCTTTCTTTCTTTCTTTCTTTCTTTCTTTCTTTCTTTCTTTCTTTCTTTCTTTCTTTCTTTCTTTCTCTCTCTCTCTCTCTCTCTCTCTCTCTCTCTCTCTCTCTCTCTTTCATAGTAAAACACTATGAAGCATATATAAATCTAACTACTGTTGCTATAGCTATCGGCACTATAAACCATACTTGATCTGAGTATGCAACACATCAACTTAACATGTTCTTCTTTCCTCAACAGGTACACAACAAAACATTTGAACGATGAGACTACCTCCAAGCAAATTAAATCTATGTTGCAATAACAGTTACCTGCAAGGTGTGTTCCTGCTGTAAACAGTATTCTGCAATGACTGAGATGCACAGATTTTTTTTGAAAAAAAGTGATTGCAACTACTATCTTGTTCAGTCTTGCTTTTGACTTTCTTTTCCCGTGTCCTCTCTTCCATTAAAAAAAAAAAATCACGTTCTTGTCCTTGGGTAAGCTGATAACTTCTTTTCTGTGCCAAAATCAATGAAATGTATCATCTCTGGAAGGTAAAATTTTTTTGTTTTTGTTTTGTTTGTTTTTTTTACTTTTCAGAGTCGCCATTGTACGTGGCAGCTAATTTCTGCATTGCGTTATGGATTTCTCTGTATGAGAGAAAGTTCTGTGACTTGAACTAAATATTTTTAAACGTGGTTTTTGTTTTCCTTTTTGTTTTTGAAAAACTAATATTTAATATTGCTTCTCGTGCATGGCAAAACTGCCTATTACTGCTATTTAAAAAAAAAAGAAAAAGAAAAAAGAAAAATCCTCAGTGACTTCATTTTCTATTGCAGCTTTTCTTATGTGCAACCGGGAGGAAAACTTTAAAAAAAAAAAAAAAGCAGACTTGTTTAAATTAACTGTGTTTGTACACATGGTACCCAACACAAAGATTTTTTTTTTTAAAAAAGAAAGAAACTAGTAAAAACCGTTCATTTGTTTTTTTTAAAAAAAGTTAAGTTTGCATTTCGACTCATTTTTGTAAGGATGTACGTTGTATGTTTAATAACTAATGTTTTTCAAAAAAAATATGGTGTGTGCGTAGCCAAATTACGTATGCATGTTTGTGTCAAAGGATTGGCTGTGGAAACAATAAAAATCAGCTTTCATTTTTCTAAGCGTGGTTTGTTTCAGTAATTGAAGAGGGGCCTATAATTAATAGGTGCCTGGAGAAAATGGGTTAAAAAAGACTACAGGTAGCGCTGGACTTAAGACCCCAAAGGCTCTGTTGCTAAGTGTGAGACATTCGTTAAGTGAGTTTTGCCCCATTTTTCCGACCTTTCTTGCCCCAGTTGTTAAGTGAATCACTGCAGTTGAAAAGTTAGTCACCCGGTTGTTAAGCGAATCTGGCTTCCCCATGGACTTTGCTTGTCAGAAGGTTGCAAAAGGTGGTTTGGGGACTCTGCAACCGTCATAAATGTGAACCAATTGCCAAGCGTCTGAAATTTTGATCGTGGGGTTGCTGCAACGGTTGTACCTGTGGAAATACAGTCATAAGTCGTGGTAACTTTGAACAGTCGTTAAATATACTGTTGTAAGCCAAGGACTCACTGTATTCCAGGTGTGGGCTTACTAAAATTTTATAAAGCAGTATATAAAGACTTCAGGTGATTTTGATTCTTAGTTCCTTCGCACTTTTCCAATTGCTCTCAGATCAGTATGCTTTATCTGACTTCCTTCCTGCAGTACTTTTGATCAAACTTAAGTTAATCGTAGCTACATTCCCCTGAAACCAAAGGAATGAGTTAGTCTTAATTAACCAGCTCTTTTTCTTTATGGAGCGTGCCAAATTTTTCAGCTTTTCAACTTCCAAACATTGTGACATGCTTTGGGGATTGTGAAGATATTTTGGTTACTTCGATATAATTTAGATCAACCAATTGTGGTCACCATGCTACCCAAAAGATATTGAGACTTTGGAAAAAGTTCAGAGAAGAGCAACTACAATGATCCAAGGCCTGGAGACTTAAAAAATATGAAGAAGGGCTGCAGGATTTGGATTTAGAGAAAAGAAGAATTAGAATTTGAATCTAGAGAAAAGAAGAATTAGGGGTGACACGATAGCAATATTCCAGTATTTGAAGGGTTGCCACAAAGAGGAGGGGGTCAATTTATTTTTCCAAAGCACCAGAGGGCAGGACAAGAAACAGTGGTTGGAAACTAATCAAGGAGAGAAGCAACCTGGAATTAAGGAGAAACATCATCACAGGGAGGACAATTAAGCATGGAACAGCTTTGCCTCCAGAAGTTGTGGGTGCTTCATCACTGGAGGTTTTTAAGAGATTGGACAGTCACTTTGGAACGGTATAAGGTCTCCTGCCAGACCAGGGGGCTGGACTAGAAGACCTCCAAAGTCCCTTCCAGGTCATTCCTATTCTATGCCATTTGATTCATGCTCGGTAAGTAACTCCATAAATATAACTTTTTAACATTATGTTTGTTTCATTTTAATAGTATTTTAGCAAGATTAATTTTAGTTGTTCCCTTGGCTAGAGAAAAACCCATTTTAACCTCTCTCGACCATAAGTCATGAGTCAATACCGGCATAACTTCATCCGATTAAGACGCTTTTAATCCACTTCCTGAGAAACAGTTACGTACAGTAATAAATTCTCTTTCCAGAGACAGCCTGGTTAGCTTTAAGGTGGAATTTATGGAATTTTGACTTAATTTTTTCCCCGAGTTCTGTTTTCCCACAAGAATCACCCTGTTTTTGTTATTGAAGAAGTATTTGTTTTTTTTAAAAAACAAGTCATCGTGTGGCTTTTATGTTTGGTTTAGGCTGTTGCTCTGGAAAGAGGTGCTCTGGTTACAGGCAACATGTTTTGGTTTCCATGCTGTGTGTACAAAATAGCAAACCTTGCCCTAAATTGACCAGTCAATTTTAAAACAACCATCCCATTTTTTAAGATTCCAGGTAGGCCTGAGCAACTTCCTGACACAAGATTTCCCTTTCTGCCCACTCTATTCTGTGTGTGTGTGTGTGTGTGTGTGTGGTGGAATTCAAACATTTTTACTACCGATTGTGGGTGTGGCAGGGGAAGGATACAGTAAAATCTCCATTCCCTCCCCACCCCACTAACCTGCTTTCCAGCTCCGTTCTCCTGTGCAGGGCAACAAAAGAAGACCCAGCCGATCAGATGGAACTTGGGAGGCAGAGAATAGATGGGAGAGGAAAGGCCAGTCAGAGGTGGGATTTGCCGGTTCTCTGAACTACTCAAAATGGCCGCTACCGGTTCTCCAGAACGGGTCACAAGCTGCTGAATGCCACCTCTGAAACAGTTGTGATTAACACCGATTCCATATGATCAATTCTTTATGGAGTGTCACTAGTGAGAAGTTACTAAACATGTCCCCTCTAGGCTATCAATTCATGCTCACCCTTTCTCCTAAATAGTAAAATAGTTTTGCTTCCCTCTCCTAAGAATATATTTTGCTCGGTCAAATGGTGGAATTAACTGCATTTTGCATGAATCTCCCTAGGAAAGTAACCTTAGTTAACTTGCGTCTTCCAAGGAAGGTTTTAAAGATAAAAACAAAGAAAAGGCATTCATGTGAGGAATGATGTGGGTGGGTGGAATTCAATTGAAACAGGTTTTGCGTGGATATGTGGGAGAGAAATCCAATGTTTTTTGCAAGTCCTTTCGCAGGAAGAAATCCTGAATTTGTTGCATGACACAATCGCCTTAAAGCCATGTACCCCAGCCCTTTAATGGCTGGGGAGTGTATCTGCTGGACGTGCCTACATTTTGTCAACTTGGAGAAAACCATCGTAGACATGCAACGGGTTATTTGTAACTTGCAACAACTGGCCAGTTTTTGACTCAGCAGGAAAAGTGGGCTTTTGTTCAGGGATGATACTCTAAAGCAAAGTTTAGCACCCTTTTTAGGTGGTCTTTATAGGAGCTAGTGGACAAGACACTCCTCCCGCTCGGATGGTTGAGTGTTCAATCCTAGAGAGCAGCAGATATTTCTCTCCTAGGGCGTAATGTAAAAAAAGAAAAGAAAGAATCTACTGTGAACTCCATAGAGGCTTCAGGAAGGGCATTCGGCCAGTCAACTCTCAGCTCTGTCCAACCGGCCCTACTTTAAGGGATTACAGGGTCGTAAAAAGGGAGTTTTTAATAGGTAGTCCTTATAGGTTGATTTACAACCATTCATTTAGTGACTGTTAACGTTACAACAATACAGAAAAAAGGGAAACAGGACCGGTCCTCACACTTCTAACCATTACAGGATCCCCACAGTCATGGGATCCAATTCAGGCAAATCGAATCAATAGGGGAAACCAGATTTGCTTAAAAGCCACAAGATTCACTCAAGAACTACAGTGAGTTGCTTTTAACAACTGTAGCAAAAAAAAGAAAGAAAGAAAGAAAAAGGTCGTAAAAATCAGCCATGACTACTTAACTTGCTTAGCACCCGAAATTCTGGCTCCAGTCCCTGTTGTAAGGTGAGGACTACCTAAAGAGATTTTGCATTTCAATCCCCATCTGTTCCAGAAGATATCCAGACCGTCAAAGAGTTGGACATATCAAGACTTCTGTTATGACAAGGTTTGAGGATGTTTCCCGGGATCATCGGGGATAGAATGTGGCTTGTTAAGGACCATCCAGCCACTGGCAAAGTAGCTTAATATTGTTCCCCATTCAGTCACCCACGATTTAACCGTGATTCCAGCAGCAGCACCGCACAGTGTCTTAACAACGGCGGGAGCTGTGAGCTAGTTACACTACGCATTTGATCTCCTTTCTGTCCACAGAGGCATTTGACACCGTTCAGATAATGGCCGGGGTGTCCTCTTTTATTTAAAGGGCGGATTGGGACACCCCTCCCCCCCCCCACCAAAAAAGCAACCTAAACCAGCCCCTCCTCCCCACCCACCCGCAAGTAAGTTTTTTTGTGCTGAAACAGCAGCCATCCTGCTCCGCTACCCTCGCTCGCTGCCCCTCGCCTGCTTTCCGAGTTGTTGAACTGCTGAGTCTCCTAGAAGGCTTTGACGCAAAGGCTGTTTCCAGGGATTTTGAAGGCTGTGGCAGTTTTGAAAGTAGGCTAATGGTATCGCCTGGAGATTTGGCACACGAAAACGCTGAAAGGCTGCCAGCTTTGAAAAGGCAGACCCTCGAGATTGTGTGTGTGTGTGTGTGTGTGCGATGAATGTTGCCAGGCAGAATTGCGGAGGGGGTTTCGCCTGCCCGCTTCTCCTCCTTCATCCATTGCTCCAGATTAGCCTTTCCTTACATCAACCACCTTTTTTTTGTTTGGTCCTCCATCCATTTTCGGAGACATGAACGGCAGCGCTTTGAAAATTTCGCCCAGACGAATTAATAATGTTCTCCCGAGTCCTGAGAGCGACAACTTCTCTTTCCCCTCCCTCCAGACCCCTCGTTTCTATTTTTCCCTAACCCTTAAAAAGGTCAAATCTTTGCGGACCCCCAAGGTCCTTCCTGCAAACAATACAGAAATCATGGCGTTCGTCCATTCTGCGCATTAAAGGAGAGCCCACTTTAGCCCATTCCTGGGAGGGTCTGTAGCAGGGGTGTCAAACTCTTTCATTGAGGACCGCATCAGGGTTGTGTTTCACTTCAGGGGGCTGGGGTGGGTGTGGCTGGGGTGTGTCTAGGGTGGGTGTGACCAGGGTGGGTGTGGCCAGCTCGATGTCATTCATTTCGGGGGCACCTGTGGTGGCCAAGTGCTAAGACAGGACTTCCCTCAGACCCTCCTTCACTCTCATAATCTTCCTTCATTCCTTCTTTCTTTCCTTCCTTCCTTCCTTCCTTCCTTCTTTCCTTCCTTCCTTCCTTCCTTCCTTCCCTTTCCCTCTGCATTCTCCTTTCTTCCCTCTTCCCTTATTTTTCCTTCCTTGCTCTCTTCCCAGCTTCCCCTTCTTTCTCTTTGTCTTTCCTCTTTCCCTTTCTCCTTTCCTGTCCCTTCTTGCAGGCTCCCTTGCAAAAGGAGGAAATGTTTCTCCTTTTGTTTTCTTTTTAGTTTGTTTTGCTAGCCCTCTGCCAGTCAAAACGGGAGCCCTGATTTTTTGCCGTGACTCCCTCCTGCAGCCCTCTGCCAGCCAAAACGGAGCTGGGGGGTGGGGGTGGGGGCGCTTGTGGCCTCC